TGATCCAACTGAGGGCTTTGAGAAGGTATTTCTAGAGTATTACTCCCGTTTCATGAAATCCATTTCCTTCTTACTGCTTGTTACCTTCGACCCACAGGTCTGACGTTTTTGTTCCGCCAGTGCGACGGAATGTTTGCGGTATTATTGTCTATGCTTTAATGTATCTACCAAGTTCTGGCCAATGCCCCTGCGTCGTATTTATCCAAACAACCTTACAGTTCCTTTTGACATAAAGTCGCGTATTTCGAGGATTCCTCAGCAGTCCTGACTGGGTTTCTTTCACCATCATTGTGATAGGTCTGCCTGCCTGCCTGCCTACCTACCGCAAGTTTGTAGTAAGGGGTTGGACAGCGTTCGGCTCGGTGGAGTCTCGCACTGCTGGAATTTCGAGTTGAGCTCTTGGTGATACGCTCGGATTTATTTCAAATATTTGTCCATATCAGTTTGAATGAGTTACCAGCTCGTTGACCGAAGTCAGAGTGTACAATTTCGTCGTGAACTGTAGAAGGTTTTTGCTGTCTTAATTTTCGAACTTTTACCTTTTTGCACCCTTTGCTAAATCTGCCCATGCAATAGGTGGGACAGATCTTCTGTCTGATGAAAAGCTTGTCGGGATCCCGATTGCTCTGTTTATCTGTTTGCTAGTAAAATTGGCGGGTCCCTCCTGAATTTAGTCACATTAAGCACTAGGAAAAGGAAATCTTTCGAGTATCCAAATCATGCTTGTTTGGTACTGTTGTGGGCAATTGACAATAATTCACCCATTTTGTTTATACATGTACGTTTTTCTCCTCTGTAGAGCGTACTTATGCTCTCGGCTACCAACTCGATGACAATAAGTTGTTTGCATTATAGTTGGCTGTTAACCTTGGCAGTCCTCAGCAGGAGGACTGACCCCTTCTCGTCTTACAGCAGCTTGTTTTTTTTGACAGGACGAAATGCAATCTAAAAATCATGCATTGACCTGCAGTGAAAATGCACGAGGCCGTCTTCTAGTTGATTTGTCGGTCACCGCCATCTTTGGTCGAGATCACGCGTATTTATATTCTTGAGACAGGAACAATTAGTCGCTTTGAGTGGCTACTGTCTGCGAATTATAATTTTTTTCGCCTGCAGCTTTAATCAAGTACGCCATCCTGTCGTCCGTT